TATGAGTGAAGGTTTATTCTAAAAAGCTACACATGCTCCAACTTTTTTGCTGGCAAGACGGCAAAGTTATCATCTGCTGACCTTTCCCACCTCCTCCTCACCCCGAAGCTGCTGCGTCCACAGTATATAAGGTGTGAAGTGGTGGTTTCAGCCGCAGTGAGATTTGAATCATATCCTATGTGAAGTCAAATACGAGGCACAGCCAGGTGAACCCGGCTTTCCATATAGCTTAAAGGGAGATTATTAGACTCTCAGCAGAAAACACATTATCCACAGTGGACCATGGCAGCCAAGGGATGATCTCCATTATGGAAGACTTTAATTCTAGTGGTGTGAGCAGTGAGGAGGTGCAGATGGGGGCTTCAAAAGAAAGGCTTCACAGCAGCAGGTTCTCCTGACTAAAGGAGAACTGGGAATTCTGTTGTTAGTTTCTGAACACACTTCTCAAAGTACCAGAATTTATATTATTTACAATATTGAAGTGACTGACCTCACTGACTACTTTTTGTCCTTGTTTGCTCTCAGTGATGCTCTCTCTGCCAATAATCTAATTAAACCTCCAGGAGTTTATTGCAAATACAAAAAGCTGCAAGGAATTAAAAAAAAAAAAACCAAGGCCTTCAAATAAACACATTTCAAAGGCATTGTTGAGATATGAAGCAGAAAGACACCGTGGCAGTACTTTGCCAGTGATTAATGGCGCATCAGAAGAGGTGGAGAGTGACCTCATATAAGTGCATTCACAAGTTCATTGATTTAGAAAACTGACTGACTGGCAGGAAAATACTTATAAAGGCTGAGCCTTTTAATAAACACTGACAAAGAGCAGTTGGACTTTCCAAACCCTTCTATCCATCCTGGCCCTTCGCCGTATTTATTTGCGCAGTTTGTGGTGTTTTTGTTGTTCTGCTTCTGAACGGCAGAAATCACAGCCATTCTCTTCCTGTCGGCTCTTATAGTTAACCTCGTATGTTGAAAATATCAATCTTTACTAAATGGAGAAGCAAACCTGCTCCAGCCGGCTCAATTGTGCGTAAATACTACCCCCCTGAGGTGTGATCTCGTAACTACAGTCACTGCAGCTAGAAGTACATATGATGCAGAGTATAGAGATTAGGTTTAAATCAGGACATGTTTTCTAGCAAAAAGAGATTTAGGTAATAGGCTGTCTGAGGTCTCAGGTTTACTGTTACTTGTATGTTTGCTTCTTTGTTTTTTTTATAATCTCGTGGATGGGAGCTCTGGAGATGCATCAAATTAGTTCCTTCCTCCTTCCCTAAAATATGTACCCATTAAAGATCACTTTTTGTATTCCATAAAAAATATTCTTCGCGATATATCAAACGTGGTCCTTAGTTGGCATTATTCCCAAAATGTCCTATAATGCAGTTTTTAGTCACACTCAGTGAGTCAGATGCTCATCACTCAAAAACACAGAAGCAAACAATGCTGGCTGCATAACAATAAAGGAGAAGACGAGAGTGTGGTGGAACTTGGCCAAGTGAGGATGGAAAGCTTAACTTCTACGGAGACTCAAACTAATGTGGGATACTCTATGTATATTTTATATCAAATGTACAGAGTTGAAAAATAATTTCTGATGTCACGAAGTCAACTTACATCCACAGTTGGCGTTGTTATAACAGTCATTCATGGGGGAAAAAAATAAATGAAATGAGATTTCCTCCAAAGCAATAATTAGTCATTTTTTCTTCACAAACGTCTCACCCAGTGTAACTGTGGTTGCCTGGTAACCACAGTGTAGACGTCCTGTTCTACAGTAGTGTGTACAGTTGAGCAGCAGGAGCAGCATCATTAACTTAAGACGTTTTCAAGACCATCCATGAATGAAAGTTATACATTGTATTTTGGCTGGACTTTTGTGCTGAAGCTGACACTAAGCACCGGAGACAGAGACAGTAAGTGGCAGCAGGGAGCACACAGTGGTGAAGTGGAGGTGACAGTGACATGTCTGAGCTTCAGAATGACACACACAGAAGTATTCTTGACGGTCTTCGCTGCACTTTTTTGGGGGGGTGACATAATAAAAGAGTTGATTAAATTTTACTGTGTCTAATATTTATATGTATTTATATTAATAATACATTTCAAAGAAAAGTGCAGTACAGGGTATATTTTTGGGATCCAGTTGTGTGGAAAAATAACGTGAGAGTATCAAATATTCATCAAAAGTGTAACATTTATTAGTCTTATTTGGATAATTCATTAGTGACTTAATGTAGTGACCAGTTAGAGAGTTAGTCCTCTCAGTGAGGAATGGCATTTTTAAATGTTGACCAAATAAGCTTTTTTTAAATTTTATTTTCTGTATAAATGTCGCCGTCTACTGGCAACATGATGAAAAAAAGAGCACATCCGACAGCAATCTACAAGTGTTTGACAATCATGTCGACAAATAAAAGCAGCATTCACGCTGTGCAGTAGCGAACTTAGCTGCTTTAGCTACACGGATATTAAAAAGTAGCAAAATTACTAAAAGCTGAGACGTTATCTGTTTTTCAATCAATATTATTATTATTATTTTAATTTTAAATACGGGTTTCTTCTATCGAAAGATATCTACTTTGTTCATGGTACACAAAGGTAGGGCAGCGCAGTGATATACTTTACAAATAAGACTTGAGGAAATGCTCGCCGACAACAAGTTCCGGTCAAAAAGTCAGGTCTGCTGCCTCTGCTGTCGAAAGGAAGTAATAGCAATTGATGTGCGATTGCACTTCAACGATTGGTTGCTGAGTCCAACTGCTCTTTTCAAATAAACATGAAACCCTGGCGGACGTGATAGAAAGCCCTGACACGGTTGGCCCAATCACGTTCGTCATACTTCCATATTTGAAATCAGCAACCAATCGTTGAAGTGCAACCGTACATCTTATGCAGATTGAATCAGTGACGTGCGGCGAGGTTCATGGCTGGTGATGCACTGACTCCTCTGGAGTCAGATTTACAATTGTCAGAACCGAAAAAAGCATCTTATTTCACTATCCATCCAACAGCATCACCTGGTAATGCTTCATATCCATCAGCATTCATCTTTTAATGACACACCAACACTAACATATACACAGGAACATATTTGTCCTACAAACAACGTTTCTACTATAGAAATGGACGGATCACCCTTCTTGTGTCTAAGAAATTCATATTTACTGTAAAATATTGAGATGAGTGCAGCACACGTTTAATTTTGACCTTCAGTAAAAAATGCAGTTATCAAATACTTGATTTTTTTTCTACGCACTCCCATCTGTTTTTAAAAACAAAAACGTAAAACCATTTTAGCCTTACCTTTACTTATAGATGAAGTCCATGGTTGTATCTCTCGGTTTTCCCTCACCTCATCATTGTGGACGTCAATGTTTACTCTCCGTTGCTCATCCAATGCCAAATCGATCCTTGAATTTCCAAAAGCTTTTAAAGAAATCCGGCTTGGAATGTGCGTGGCTGGTCTTTCCTGTCTGCTGAGACTTCATTGCAAATGTTTCAAGTCACAGTATCCCGAGTTAGTCCAGACGTTATGATAGCAAAAGGCAAGGAAAGCAGTACAGTCGGTTTCTTGCAGGACAGCCACACAGCCAGTCTTTTCGTTTGCACCACTCCATTTAAAAAGAACGTCTCTTCTGTCCCGTAGTATGAAGCAAACCTTTTAGCTCCGGCGTTGGTCTTGCATCACCTGTCATCTTCTGTTTGGACCGGAAGTCCAGTTTTCAGAAATGTTTCCGTCTTGAGATACAATCCATAGCGAGTCGGATCAGGCAGAGCAAAGTAAACACTGTACGTACGGCCCCTTGATGAGGCAGAGTACTGATTGCCTCCTTGCACATTTTGAATTTGCACGTTAACGATTGGTTCAGACTCTGAACCAATCGTTGACGTGCAATTGCACATCGTATGCAGTGTTTTTAATATCCGTGTAGCTTATGCAGCTAACTTTGCTACAGCACAGCTTGGACGTTTATAGCTGCTACGACGATTGCCAAACAGAGTGCATTATGTTGTGTTCTTTTCTGCATCTTGTCGCCAGTAGACGACAGTTTGCGGGTTTAGTTACTGTGATATTTCAGTTTAATAATAATAAATTGATTGTTGTAGATAATACAAAAATCAGAAACTGTGAAACTGTATACTAATAACAGTAAAACAAATTATTCTACTGATTATGGTTCTTGAGTAAAGATATATTTGTTTATTTATATAGCCACCAGACTGTATGAGCAGCTGCTTTATGTAAAAACCGAAATATGTGCAATATTTCACAGTAATTATTTCACAGCTATTTTTATTTCCAAACCCAGCAGTCCAGGGTGTAAATCCTCACGTACATATAGTTAAATAGCCTACTGTAATATTTCAATATTTCTGACCACAGCGCTACGCTATACTGTACTGTTTTGCAGTAAAGGCTGTGAATTTCCCCACTGTAGTACAAATAAAGGACTTATCATATCTGCTGATATTTCTTGAAACACCAGCCTATGCTAATTTTTGAAGAAAAAAAAAGGGGGTCAGGTAATACTCCTGGGTGGTGTACAGCAGATACCATCTGCAATGTTTTATTGCTGACACCTACTCTTTTTTTAATAGTCTTTTGTTTTCCTTTCCACTGCACAGCCTTCAGTGTTGAAGTTGCAGTTAGTAGTTAAATATCTCTCACCTCACTCTACCAGTTCAAGGTAAGAACACACAGGATAGAAGCCTCCAGGTATCAATAAAACACATACCTTCAAAGATGAATATATACAGTATGTAACATTCAGCACAGTGTACCAGGGTAAAGCCCAACCAAAAGGAGAATCACAAATCAGTTGCCTTAATACAGCACATCACACTAAGATAGTTTTTTTAGTTTAATGTACATTTTTAAATTGGGTTTAAAAATAGTTTAATAAATACATAAGGCATTTTTTATAAATAAATTAACAAACATTTTTTACAAGCTACATATCAATATTAGCCTGTAAAAGTGGGAGGGGGGGGGGTCAAACATTGGCGCCCCCGCGTGGCGGTGTCATCGCGTGCATTTTCAATACAAACGTCACATTCGAACGTCACGGTGTTGATTAAAGTGTTGATCAAAGGAAAGTGATTTATTCACGGAGCCCCCGTACTCTTAATTGTCACCAAAAAATACTAATTAAGAAGATAACTAAGTAGAAAAAGCGATAAAAAAAAACTGAGTGTGAAAACTGGGCAGTGATTCTCACTGCGCTTCAGAGAGTGTGACCTGCGCAAAGAATGTCAGGGTTAGTTTCAATGTTATTATGTAATTGTAATTATTTTTAATAATTAGCAAGGGGCATTTAGATTTAGAGCACTGGTTTTGAAAGGTCACGTGTTGAATAGAAACTAATCTCCGTATGAATAGGGAGTACATTTTTAAACACGTAAACATCTTTATTCTCCAACTTAATTTATAAAATAATTTATTAATTTACTGCAATTAAAAGAAAGCTATAAAGAGATAAGCAGAGAAGCCGTATTGCAAATTATTTGAATTTTTTAAATGCTTTACTCAAAGTATTTAAACAAATAAAATGAATTTAAACTTTCACCTGTTTAAAAATAAATGGTATTGAAATGGCCATTAAAGTAATATTCATTAGGTTAACAATTAACAAATGGTAAATGTTGATTTTAAGATTATATGTTTATAATTATTGTATTCAGGTGTTTGGTTCCATTTGTATAATGTGATATTCTTCTGTTTAATGTCTGCCTTTAAGCACAGTGCGTGTGACATTTTTGCAACATTACTCAACAGTTCATTGAGGTTCCAAACACAGCTACTCTCAGACACATCCAGATGGTATGGAATCACTCCTCCTATCAGCGAAGACCTGCCTCTAGAGACTGACTTGATCCAGACCAGGAAACTGATTGAGTGTCTCAGATCGTGTGACATATTTGAGGATTATCTGGAGCAGCAGCATCGGTATGTCACGTAATATTCTTTTCATTTATTATATATATTTAGAGATGTTGTTCTGCCGTTGTCTATCTTCTTCCATGCCTTATTTATAATAATCTCAGAAAATAAAGTTCATGGAAAAACTCATTGTCATTATTGAATTATTAGAGAAAAAGTGGTGAAAAGACTGGAGTCACTCTTCAAGGAATGGCTCAAAGAAATGTGTGTTGAGATGGTGAGCTGTTTATTTCTTCTTTGCACTACCGAAAGTGTGCTATTTCTGAATAATATAATTTTATTTGATCTATTTTGTTTAAGAATGTGCCAGAAATTGTGAAGGATAATGTCGGAGGGAAGGTCCTGCCCTTCGGCTCTTACCGCCTGGGAGCTTATTCAAAAGGTAACCAACAGGTTTCTTATGCAGACGTCCGACACTGAGTTGATCTGTCAGTCATACGCTGTTTGTATGTTTATTTCTTTTTATTTGGTTTGTTAGTTGGTGGGTTAATTGGCAATTAATGTGTTTGATTAATATGTTTTCTCCTCTCTGACTCTGTTACTTTGACAGGCGCTGATATTGACATCCTTTGCGTTGGACCTGGATTTATTGAAAGAAAGGAATTCTTCAACTCCTTCTATGGGAAGCTGAAAGCCCAGGAGGTGAAAAACATACAGGTGTGTCAAACAAGTGATTTATTGCTTCATTAATTATTGTAACACAACTGTGTTGTTTGGTTTCTGCCTTGTCCAAGTGACTAATAATAATATCCTTATCTGTAGGCTGTTGAAGAAGCATTTGTCCCTGTAATCAAGCTTATCTACGATGGAATTGAAGTAACTAAACATTTGTGTTTTTCTTTTCTTTTCTTTTATATATAATCTGTAACTTTGTTTAGTCAAAAACTAAATAAAATGTGTTACAAATTGTAGGGGAATTTTGTGTCTCTGTGATTTTGTTTAGGTTGATATGGTCATTGCTGTGGTGGTACGAAAGTCCATCCCTGAAAGTCTGAATCTCCTCGACGACAAGCTTTTGCAGGACATGGACAAATGCAGCATCAGGAGTCTCAATGGAAAGATGAAATATTTTTAAATATTTACTACTTTAAGTATATTGGGTTTCTGATGTATGGTTCGCTTTTTTTGTGACAATCTGTACTTTTATCTTTGTTTTTCTTAGGTTACAGAGTTACTGAGGAAATCCTCCACCTTGTGCCAAACATTCACAACTTTCAGCTGGCTTTGAGAGCTATCAAGCTGTGGGCCAAGCGTGAGTATATCTATAGGAGGAGATTGTCATAGACTGCAACAACTTAAAATTTAGTTTTAAAATTCATGTTTTGGTCCTTATTTTGGTACATATATACAAACATATTTGTGAACAAAAATATCACTTTGTGCCATTATCTTTGTCCTGCTTCAGGTCGGAATATTTACTCCAACATGTTGGGCTTTCTGGGTGGAATATCACTGGCCATACTGGTGGCCAGAATCTGTCAGCTCTACCCAAATGCTGCAGCATCAACACTGGTTATCAAATTCTTTAAGGTCTACTCTATGTGGTGAGTCTTTATCATTACAGTTGCGGTTTCCCCTGTAAAACATCAGTTCAAATTACTTTGTGTTTTCTTTTGGATGCAGAAAGTATGTTGCATTTGCATTTTGCGTGACTTGCAATGTCAAATTGCAATTGAATTATTTAGCATTGTTGCAAATAATCCTGTGTTTTGTTTCAGGGAATGGTCAATCCCAGTGCGGTTGCGGATTGTAGAGGACCGCCACTACAACCTCCCTTTTTGGGATCCAACAGTAGGACTTCTGCATGACCAATGTTAAAATCTAATCATGGAACATGGAAAATATCACACTTACCTATTCGTGCTCCTCTACGTTTTCAGTTGAATAACAGTGACCGCTGTCACATCATGCCCATCATCACCCCAGCATACCCTCAGCAGAACACATCCTTCAATGTTTCTCCTTCTACGCTGGCCATTATAACAGAAGAGATTGCACGTGGTACGTTAAAGGACATCACATGAAACAGGGCTGGATTCAGTCAATCATAGATTATGATATTTGGTCATATCTAATAAGATTACACCGTTTAATATACGTAAATAATTTTAAATAAAAAACACTGTTTGTTTGTTAATTTATCTTTCTGTTGTGATTGTTTACCTGAGACTGAAACATACATTTTCCAACTCGTTCACAGGTCACAGCATCATCCAAGATATAGAGCAGCAAAGAGCCGGCTGGTCCCAACTATTTGAAAAAGCAAACTTTTTTGAGAAATATCAGTACGTATTGACTTATCTAACAGTGTAAATAATTTTGGCGATGTAAGCACACCGCTCTATGAAATCATGACAGATATGTTGTAATGGAAGAACTTGTTGGTGCAGGTAGAACGAGAGTGTGTGAATACAAATGTCAGTGTTTACGTGAGACAGAATCACAGCAGAAGAACAGAGCCTACTGTGTTAGTGAAGATGAGCAAAGAGCAATGATGTTGATGTGAAATGTATTTACTATTTTATTAGGCACTATGTTTTGGTGCAAGTGACCTCTGCAGAGCAGCAGCATCCTGAGTGGTGAGCATCCAGGGTTAACACAGTGGTTTGGGTCTATTTCTCTAGAGGATACAACTATTTTAATGGCAGAATTTGACCAACTGTTGTTTTTTTTTTCTCAAAATGATGTCACATGCACCCCCACCAGTGTGAGTTTGGTAGAGTCTAAAATCAGACACCTGGTGGGAAGTCTGGAGCGAAACCGGCAGATATTCAGGGCTCATCTCCACACACAGTCCTTCCCTGGACCTAGAAAGACAAATAACAAGTATGAACGTTGGTTAATGGTTAACATCGAAGCTCACTCTTGTTTTGGTAAATAGATATTATCTTCTTATTGGCCTTTATTGTGTTTCAGAGAGGAAGTGAGCACACAATGGCTGATCGGACTTCTTTTTAATTTTGAGGGGAAAATAGACCTGTCGCTGACCATCCCTTCTTTCATCGACACTAGTGGGTTTTCTTTTTCTTCTTATTTTCATGTAAACGGTGTTCAGCAATGATGTTCATAATTTTTGTGTTTGTTTTTTTTCCAGTCTACAGCCAAGCACAGAGCTCTAGGGTACATACAGAAGGGATGACCATATCAGCTGTATGTGACAGCAGAGATAAGCTTAACTGGTCGATGCCTGATGGCACGAGAAAGTCGGTTTTCTGTCCCGAAACAAAACCTGCGGTGAGCCACCAATCCGCTGCCACAGTGCCATCCACCCAATATGATAAGCCAGTTAAAAGGATGAAAGCCTCTTCATCCACTTCATCTTTTGTGAATCCATGTCCCACAAAGAGACCTTGTTCTCCCTCCTCTGTAGGAAGTTCATCCAATATGCCAGAACCTGATGGAAGTCCAGCTGTTGACACAAAATCCAGCAACTCTAAAGAGACCCTGGCAACAGGTGGCTCACCCAGTAATCTTTCTCACTGTGTAAGTGCAACAAGTGCCAAGAAACCTAATCCAGCAGAGTCTGAAAAACTGGCAAAGAAGTTCAAACCTGACGAGGTAGATTCATCTAGTCTTATAATGCTCCTCATCAAGTATTGTTGTCAAAACTGCCAAATGATTACAATTTTTGGTCTGATTAATTACAGCGTAGTCGTCATTGTTGTAGATGTGTGTGTTTCACACGTGGTATAGATGTAAATAATGTAATAGAAGAAATAATGTTAAAGTCATATTTTTCTTAGTTACTAGTTATCACAGGTGCTATTGAATGTTTTACTGTAAACTAATATATGTAGGAATTTGTGTCACGCTTACCGTGCACACACAAACTGTCGCACAGAGTAAGTTATAGCTCCTCCATAAATAGTCTTAAAAATGCATTCTACAACACAAAATAATTTTATTTAGAAAACGAATACTCAGTGTTTTAGATGAACTGATCCTGCTTACCCCCACCCTCTGTCCTACCTCCTAAATTCTGCATTTTGATGGTAACACTGGTAGACTTACATTACCATCAACATTTGATATGAAGTGGTTAAGTAACAGGCAACTGCAGTGTTTCTAGAACATGTTTTACCTGTCATCCAAGTATCTTCAGTTCTTCAGACCTAATCCAACTTGTCTTGTTTTAATTTCGTCCAGAACCTCCCAACTGTCGAACTGTCAGACCTGCCGCTCAGCCCTGCCAAGCCTGTAATGACAGTGAAACGTCCAATTAAACTTCATCTGATCGGGTACAGCACACATTGATTTATCAGGGTACTTTCAGGCTGTAAAGCTGCAGACTAAGAATGTAATTCCTTTGCAACACAAGAGGGCAGTCAAGCGTCTCAAACGGCCTTTTCCTCAACCACAGTAAATGCACTTATATATATATTATACAATCCTTCAGATCAGGGTTTTTTTGTTTTGTTTGTTTGTTTGTTTGTTTTTTTTTTGTTTGTTTGTTTTTTACATTAGTGATCGCTGCAGAAGTCTCAGTCAATAGAACACCGCTCTGTATCTGTTAGTCTTTCAGTGCAATCCACCAGGTATTTCTTTATTTATTAGAATCATTTAAAATCTGGTCTAAAAATGAGATCCTTATATTGTTTATTGCTATTAGTATTTTCTCTTCAGGTCCGTCTTTTGAATACCTTTTGCTCCATTCTTGCTTCGCCAAGGCCAACATTCGCTTGTACTTTACAGTATATACTTTGTAATTTAGCTCTTGTTTTATATTAATGTTTGAACCATTTTCACTTCTTTCATAGTTAGTGCCACCCATGGTTCATCTGCCGCTTATTTATTATTAAACATGACAGATGAGGAAAGATTAGAGGAAAGTAATTCAGTAACTTATATTTTCTGTGTCTGTAAATGTTCCTATTTTTTTTTTTTTTTTCTTACAGCAAGCGTAATGAACAACACTGACAGGTTGCAGGGTCTAGTAACGCTGTCGACCGTCTCCAGTGACTGTTGTCTCTGCTTCATCTGTCCAGTACGGTGCATATGCTTTCCTGATAAGGTTTGTTGGAGACTGGAGTCAATCTTGTCCACACTGACGCAAGATGACACGCACAGTTACAGGTCCAGGTCATTATGGATCAAGCAAAACAACGCACTCTGCGTGCAACACATGTGATCATGCGTTCGAGATGGCTATTTCTACTAGTAATGCAGGAGTTGGGAAGCGTTTCCACATGTAGTCACAAGAACGCAAACAAAAGTAAATTTAATCCAAACTCGGACCAAAAGAGATAAAAAAAGCTATTTAAAATATGTTTCGAGGATTTGTAAATCAAAAACACGATACTAGATTGGGCATTCTAGTGTCTTTTTTGCTTTATTGTCCAAAATAATTTTTCAACACGCGTCCTACAATAAAATAAATAGGAAATATAAATCAAAATTAGTTTATGCAGTCGCGTTGTTCATTTTTCACCACGAGGGGGCAAAGTTGATTAGTTTCACTTCCAAAATGGCTGCTGACCCCGTGCGGGAGTGGAGCGACGAGCAGTTAAAAAGTGACGACTTACCAAAAAAAGACATTATAAAATTCATTCAAGAGAATGCTGCACACTCGGTATGTTTATTCACAATGCTCATTTCTCCTTTTATATTCAGTATTTGCAGATTGCACTGCAACAGCATACTTTGAAGCTAACATGCTGCTAGCTCACTGAAATTGAATGTAAAATATGCAACATACCCAGATTGTAAATTACAGTAAGGGTAGAATTTATCCTAAAACTAGCATATCGCTCTATCATGCCATCAGAATACTGAATAATTGAAATGTTGCAATATGCATGAGAGCATGACGTCATTGAAAAACATTTCATCATTTACTATTAAGTACTGTATGTTAACCTGCATCTCCCTTGCAGTTTCTCAATGAGCACAAGCTTCTGGGGAACATGAAAAATGTTGCAAAAACAGCCAAGAAAGAACAATTGATCATTGCCTACAATCAGCTCTTTCAGAGTAAAGTAAGTCACGTTAATGTGTTACATTGCACTTGGGTAGTCAGCGTCTGTGTTCAAGATGGACTTGTGTGTCTGTGTCATGTTCAGAGGTTTAAAGGTTCAGAACCCATAGAAGAAGTGACGGAGAAAGTTAAAGCAGTGAAAATTGAAGACAAGCCCAAAGAAGCCAAAGCAGAGGTTGTGGATGAGGTATTTGTTTTAGAGTCTTGTATGTAACACATTTATTATTGATTGGCACACAGTCAGATATGAGTCTGACATGCAATTTAATTTCTTTGTTCAGGGCCCACCTAGGTATACCAAGTCAGTGTTGAAAAAAGGCGACAAAACCAACATCCCAAAGAAAGGAGATACTGTGAGCTGCTGGTACACTGGTACTTTGGAAGACGGAACTGTGTTTGACACAAATATTCCTACAGGTAAAAGACACAGACTTAGTAGTCTTACAATTATTGAACATACAATTTTCATCATCACAATATTTTTTATCAATACAGCAGCCAGAAAAAAGAAGCAAGCAAAACCACTGAGTTTCAAGGTTGGAATGGGAAAAGTCATCAGAGGGGTAAGTGTTAGTGCTATTACTATTCAAATGTTTATTTTGATGCTTATTTATTTAAATTTAAATGTCCACAGTGGGATGAGGCCCTTCTTACAATGAGTAAGGGCGAACAAGCCAGACTGGAGATCGAACCAGAGTGGGCCTATGGGAAAAAGGGTCTTCCTGATTCCAAGTATCCTTTTCTGTGTGATTCATTTCAATGCTTTGAACATTTTTTCTTCCTAAGATAAATTTAAGTGTTAACTTTTCTAATTTAGGAGGAAATGTTTTTACCTTAACTTCCACCAGAATTCCACCTAATGCCAAGTTGATTTTTGAAGTCGAACTTGTGGCTGTGGACTAAGTAAAAACGTTGACTAGCATGCATCTGATCGTAAGGATGGACAACACCTGACCGAAGACCGTTCTGTTGCACTTTTCAGTTTACTGGTATATGTACTCACTGGGTTTCTTAAAAAATAAAAATGTTAATTGGCCTTAAATGAATGGCTTTTGTACATATACTAAGACCTTATTTGCAATTTTACATGTATGTTAATTAAATTGTTCATACCAAAATGACTTAATAAAAACATTAAGTTCTGTCCAAGCAAAGTTTTATTATGTACAGAACGACATTTAACTTTATAAACACTGGACAGCCATGGTGCTTCTCTTTAGATGCACTGAAGCATTTAGGAGTTGGCGTTGGGTCCCTTCTTCTTTCCAAATGTGGGCACAACGTTCACAAATCGCCTGTTGTATTGAATGCGGCGCTTGGCACGGCCAGTCTTCTTTTTCTTTTTCTCCTGCTTCTCGACCTAAAGAAAGTGAGCAGGACAAAAACAGCGTCATACCTTACCACTCCAAATCAGCCTTTCTGTCACTAAACAACCACATTTACAAGACATGTAAGCAAGTTTGTACAATAAAATTAAGTAGAAAGAAAAGGGAAATCCTTTTCATTACCTTGGGTGTCTGTCCTCTCACTTTTCCGGCACGGGCCAGAGAGCCATGGACCTTACCTATTGAAGGACAATTAAAGGTACAAGTAAGAAATGGTAGTGGCAACATCTATATGCAGAGTCCCATGCAGGGGTCTGATTAATCTAAAACCTCTTCGTTAAGCCATCTTTTCTTCCCATTTTGTCAGGTGGTTACATTTTCACTTCAAACATTGTAATTGTTCAGAAAAGTAAATAAAGAGAACACCATGGCAGTCAATGACAAGGACATGTTTATATATAAAACCAAGATGGCTAATGAATTTAACTGTTAATATGTAAACCTGTTACTGTGGAAAACATGCTTAATAAGATAAAATAACTCACCTCCCAGCAGCCTGCCAGCTACTTCCAGAGTGCAGTGCTCTGAGACTCCACAGGAGGCCAGGGAGGCATCATTCTCCAGTGGGCATCCAGCAAGCAAAAGCACCTGGTCCTCAACCAGGAGACCCTCTAGTGCCTGGACATGGGCCTGGAGACAAATAACACGTTATAATAACGAATACATGGGGCACTGTCACTTATTAACCACACGTTTCTTGTTCTTTTACCTTGATTTGTCCAACAGTTTCTTGTCCGGTCACCTCAAGGGTGTGGGTGTTTTGTGCACGCAAAAACAGCTGCATTTTGATGCTAGAAGAAAACGAGTAGTTAAGTTATTAACAATACCACCAGGTTTGTGCTCAACAAGAACCTTAAAATTAGTTCCTATCTATCCGCATAACACTTCAATGTACAACTTGTTAAACCCAGAGTAACGGTTAAGCGAGTGGCTTTACCATCTTTTTGACTTAATTAAAACAAACGCGAATAAATAAATGCATATCCTGTATTTTCACTCAACGAAACTTTCTCCACATCTCCACAAAAAAATAACTTCGAGGGTAATAATAAATAGCCTCTTTATATATATGAACGATATTAGCAAACGGTCGTAATAAGAAAAGTATCAGTGCAACATGCGATGAACTCGGGACATGTATCCCCTGTTAGCTCGCTAGCTTGACTTAGCCACATGGACCACGCGTTCGGTTAACTTCTACAAACACACCATTGGTATCCGTTGTTGTGCCTTTCTTTACTGTATCTACTAAATAATGAATTATGTACGTTTTTGGTCAAACAAATCGCGGTTATCGTTTGGATAATTCGTGTTTTCAAGGAATTTTGTGGAGGCCTTACCTCACTTGATGCTAGTCGTTCAACGCTAGGCATAAAAAGGGCTGTTTTAAGGTCGACACTGCGCATGAGCAAGTTTACGTACTTCCGCCTATATAGCAACGCTCACTGCCTATTCCGTTTTTTGTGCGCTTGCGCTGTAGACCAATCATACAACTGACAGCGCACCCTGTCAAATGGCGGTGTAAACAAACCGAAATACGTGGCGTCGGGGCTTTAGTTTGCTGAAATTAAACTGTAGGAAATCAGTTGCACCCGTGGCCATATTTATATAATCGCTTTAGCTTCAATTGCAAGAAAGGCAACAGTTTTCTTATGTAGTTTAAACTGTTTGTCCAGAGAGACGGAGCGAGGTGCTTTTAAAAACCTGGCATTAAATCTTGCAAAGCATGTTGAGGTAAGTTAACGATTTATCACAGTATAGATAGTAAAATGCTTTTTTCATTTCCCCAAAAGACATCAGTGGATGACATTGCTAAACTTGCTGATGAGGTTATAATAATTATACTAAGACTTTGTTGGCTTACCTGACTTGATGAAAAACATAAGGGTCCCAAATCAATTTTACATCGTCTAACAGGCTATAAAGTAACCCTACACAGCGTCTAGGGTAAACAATTCATGTTGATCTCATAACTCTGTAGACTAAATCCACACATCAATTGATGATTTTCTCCATGACAGGTGGTCAACGCTGGTATTCCTCCCTCAGCCGCCTTCGAGCGTGTCTACAGCTATGCTGAACTGGTATTTACTACAAAACGAATAAGAATGAACTGCTAACTGAAAACCCACTACTTAACTAGGAAACTAGGTAGATTGTCGTCTGATTTCGAAAAATGCCAGATTTGTTTTTATTTTGTGTATATTTCAGCATTTCATTAATTATTTTACACCAATTGTTGTCTACGTTCTATATTACAACTGCATAAACTTTATTAAACACACGTCAACTCTATTAATGTGTTGTCTATATTAAAAATAAGCTTTTTAGCAACAGAGCAGCTGTGAAATAGACAGAGGGTATCACTTTATTATGAAAACAAATCAAAAATAAAAAAGACAATCAACAAACTCTTCATTTGAGTGAGTGGAAACAACCATGGAATATTCTTTTTTAAAATCTATCAGCATAGGAAGAAGAAACACAACTTAGAGGTATGCCTCATCTAAAACACAAAGAGAGAGATCAAACAAAGTCATCCAATCAAAACTTAGCATTTATCCAAGCAAAAGCAATTTGAATTGCTTTGTCAAATAACATGCATTAGGAACCCAAAAAGCACCCACTGTTGGAGACAAAGAGCCAATTACTCTTACTTTTAAAAATAACTGGTTACAAGTTAAATGCTTAAACTTAGCTATAAAAACCTAAATCAGCATTCGTTCTGTTGGTTGATACTGTAATATGGCAAACATGACTGGATGATTTCCTCAGAGTCTCCATCTTCATGTCCGGGTTTTAGTGATTATGTAGGGGGTGGAGGGTAGTACTGGTTATATTGGCCATATTGGTTGTACTGTCCCCACGCATTCTGTCCCCAGCCACCGTATTGTTGCTGAAAGGAAAGATCGAGTTAAAATGGAATAGTAATTATCATGGTCATGGCTAGCTTTATTTAAAAATTCCACATGAGCTCGAAGAGACAAAAATTAAGAAAAAAAAAAAAATCTACTAACCTGATACCAGTTGTAATTATATGCCGAGTTGTTTGCTTGCGCGTCTGTCCCTGTGCTTACTGCTCCTGAAGTGTCATCAACACGCTGTCTCTTAGCATCAGGTTCCTGAGAACTGCAGATATGTAGGACTTTGTTAGCACATTGTAGGTTCATAATTCTTTCGCAATTCAAGTTTTTCCAAAGGTTGTTAAAAAATTTGTTCTAATGGACACGTACCTTTCATACCCATTTTCAGCTTTCCTTTTTGCAGATTCAATCTCTTGAAGTAGTTTCTGCTGTTCTTCATTTGCGGCCAAAAGTCTAAGATTTAAAAACAAATGAATGAATAAATAAATTAAGACATCAATCTTAAGTCACATACAATAAAAAAAATACAACTTACATATTGATGTCACTGCCAAAATCCTCAAGAAACTCAACTTTGCGTTGAGAGAAGAGCAGGCGAGACTCGAGTGACATCTGGCTGCTCAATGCTCGGTCAAAGCACGCTAGGATTTCTGCCTCATTCTGTGTCACATCACCATTAAACTCCAGCTCCAGCAGGTTTAGATACAGTTTTGGACTCGTCTGTAAAG